AAAAAGAGTTTTCAACTTGGGGAAATTTAAACTCACTTTGCAATTCAAGTTGTGACTTTTCCGTGCACGCATTGTCAACTCGCAGTGTTCTGCCACCAATTTCAAATCCGTTCAAATTTCGCATCGCGGACAAGGCAGTTGCTTGATCGGGGTATTCGCAAAATCCATATCCTTTCGGCTTGCCTGTTTCTCTGTCGTAAACTAATCTAGAAAGAAAAAATCAGGGAAACATTTGGCGCATGAAAAACTAGCTTTCAATCACGAAGAATTAATGGCCGAGAGACAAAAAACCAAGATATGTTGCAAAAATACCACGCATAACCTTTTCCTCTAAAATATAAAGTTGTCAAGATACCGCGCCGAGAGTAGATTGCATTCATTTCATGGATTTCTATGCTTATTACAATGCGTTTACGGCAGGAATTAATTTGTTTCCAGGCGGGTAGATGTCACTGGCAACAAAAACGGCATTTCAATTTTACACCACATAATCTTAAAGCTAACATGCTTCCGGGTTTTTCCAAGCGCAAATAAATTACTGTATCAAAACGTTTTCTTAATGATCGACTGAAAGCTTCGCAGAAGAAATGACACGCACTTGAAGGATAAAACTTGGCCGATTTGCCCGAAAATCTCCTTCAACTTCTCCTCCGTCGCCTCATACGGAATGTTACCGACTGTGGAAGAAAATAATACAGTTATTAAAAACACGAACAACGAACAAATAAAAATTCAACTCTCACCAAAAACAGAGCGTAAACTCTTGTCCACAATCTGTAAATCACCCATGTTTCACTTATTTTGGATGTTACGCTTCTGTAAAAGTCAAAGAAGGTTTAATTTTCATGCGGAGGAAACACAGCGTGATCACGTGCCACTAAAACATCAAAAACCTAAAATTCACCGGGAGTTACCAACATACAATAAATAAATTCATGAAACTGAGAGGGACCAATGGACCAGAGAGGATGAAAAGGCTGTCATCCGAATAATCTCAAGCGATTTAGAGTAGTATAAAGGAAAGAAGAAATTTTTGGTACCTGTATGAGAGGGAAAAAATAAGCGACCTCATAAAAACCTTTTCTTCCTAACGTGTCACAAGACAAGAGAATAAAATAAAGCCTCCTCTCTTATTTTTTCCTGACGCTAAAAGTTATGCTGAAGAGATTAATGCCAGAATTTTTCTACGCTCCAATTTCGTTTCATGCCTTCAAAATTCCTGCAACGCGATGATAATCACGTTTCAATGACTCAAGTGGCACGTAATTCAACCGGTATTTCTAAATTGAAAAATCTCTCAAGAAATCGTGTCTGAGCGTTTGATCACAGTCCGCAACATCAAGACAGAAATATGGTTCATCAGCCTCGC